CGGCCCTTCCAGCGAGCACGCAATTAGCGATGTGATCAGCAGCTTGATTGTGTTCCCGGGGCCTCCAGTCGATTGGATCGAGGTACTTGGCTTTGTATTCAAATACAGAAGAATATAGCGTCTTAAGCCGAAGTCGCAGACAGTCCAATGTGTTACGATACCTGTTGTTTGTAATACGAGTCACACCATTACCGATTTCTGCCAAAGTCAGGTTGTCGACGACAAACTCCAACTGCACGCGCTCAGCCCCCAAGTCCCACAGTTCGTCGCGGCACAAAAGAACCGGCAGCGCCAGGTCAGCCGGGCCCCGCACCTTCTGACATTTGGCGGGTTGGGCTGCAAGATCCTCGCCGACGGCTTCCACCGGGGTTCCCCGCGCCACCTGGGGAAGACCCAAGCAAGCGCAAGCATCATGCACGAAGGAGTCCTTCGCGGCCATGTATTCTTCGCGCGCCCGAAAAATGTTGAACCGATCTCGCCAGCCTGGGCCCCATGCTGCAAAGAAGACTGCGTCTTGGTTATTTTGCCTGCCGCGGTGAGGGTGCGCCGAAAAGCCCAAGTGCCTGCGCCATTCGAGGAGCGCGTCTTTGATTGCATCCCACCATCGTCTATCCTGGTCCGTTCTGATACGTCCGAGAATGGTCGCAGTCGTGCTTTCCCGCCACATAAACACGCACATTCTTTCAATAATGCAAACATGTACGGGTTTCTTACGTTTCACATCCATCCAATGGTCGATCTTCCTGGCAGTGCGATGCAGATAAGCCTGACGCCCCGCACCCGGCTTAGGACGCAGCCGGAACACGCGTCTCAATGTCGACCTCTCCCACCGGATGGCGCCCCACAGCGCCGCGCTTGTCCAGTGAACGATGGGCGACACAGACAATGCGCTCGCACGAGGCATTGACATGTAAGCGTCCAGCTTCAAGCCAACAGATGCCTTCCCACGAAATGCTTTCAAATACTTGAAGAGGCATGTGTCGCCCTTCTGCATGCGATGCGAAATTAATACATGAGTCGGGTCAGACGGGCACAGCATGCCGCCAAGCGCCTCCATTGCATCGACACGCTTATATGTTAAATTCTGCGGAGTCCCGTCGACGGAAACCCTTGCAGAGGGAAGATCCACACGATTCGATATGACTTCCAAAGAGCTGCTCTTCCATTCCCACCCGTACTTGCGTTGCAACAGAACTGTCATGCTTCTTGTCATAAACCGCCACTGTTCCAAGTCGGCTGCCAATATGAATACATTGTCTACCCAATTGACGTTTGCGATCCTCTCGCCACTGGCCTTCATCTGGAAACCGAGCCCCATGGTATCCCATTCGGCTGATAACTCCTCCAGTGCCGTGTCCAACATAAGTACAAACACGTGAGGCTCGCATTTCCCTCCAGTGCGCATTGCCTTCGTCATCGGAACCTGGTTCGCGGAAGCGACTCCGGGCACCGTAAGATTCACACGCAACTTGTCGCAGTTGCGCGCGAGGGCCAAAACCTGGTGGGGCGTCGCTTTGCGCATTGCCAGACAACTGAACATGTCGACATGCTCAACCGTATCGAATGCTGTCCGGATGTCCTGTGCCCCAAGAACGAGCGGAGAGTCTTCCCATCGAAGGGAATAGCACAAACACTCATACAACACTGCAAAAGAAAACAATCGTCTGCCGAAGTGCCCGCCTTGTAGCCATAACTGCAGGAACGTCGCGGTGCACGGATCGTCCGGGAGGTCGCAGAGTAAATGGCTGAGTCGAACCAGGTGCAAAGGTGTGTTAAAATCCCTAGCCACCTGTAGTCCTGGAACGATCTCTGGTCACGTGATTTCGGAATCCCGAGAAGCTCGAATTCAGCCCATGAGGCCAAAGTAGTATCCTCCCAATGGATGTCCCTGAAGCGTTTCAACAACAACTCATACAATCTTATCTTGAACCAACGCGGAGCATGTTTCCACACGGTGCCTGGTATCAAATCTGACCCGACCGCCGCTCCACCACGCAATCCCGCAAGCTCGTCCAAGAAGTCTCCGAATGACGGGGCGCCAATGCTAATACCATCAACCTGCCGAGAAATTGCTTCTGCGCGGAATCCTACAATGAGATCCCTGAAGGCCGTGTGGTGGTCTGCATCGGAAGTAAACCTCTGCTTCGCCATCTTGCTGAAGGCATCCGCCCAATCGCCGCGGTCGGCAGTTTCACCTCCAGCGATCTGTAATGAAGTCGGGGGAGTGCGATGGGAACCACCGTGCCCCCGGGCAACAGCTCGAAGTGCTTCCCTGGTTTGCACACCCTTGCCCCTGTCCCCAGTGCTGCCTCCGTGTTAAACCCCTTTGCGATCCCTGGTAGCTCTTCCAGTTGTCTGAACATCTGCATGGAAGTTGTGATCGGTCGCGCACGTCTTCTTATCCTCAACGGCGGTGGCAACAACGTTTACACAAGAAGCCAAATCTCCAGACGCGCAACTACTCTTATGCATAGTGACTGCGTGCTTGAGCTTCGCACGGTCTGGCAATCCGGAAATGTCCCAAGCCTGCATTTGCTCTACAACAAGTTTACGAAGCTGCGACGAGGTCGCCGTCGGAGGAGCGACGTTTGCATTGAACCGCCTGTGCAAAGGAAGATGATCAAGCTTAGGAACAGAATCAATGGCTCGGTCAGGTTCAGCTGGTAGCTCATCTGGTACATCCGAACACAGATGATCGATCTGCGACTTGCTCCGGGCGGTACGTTTGCGCCCCACCTTTGTATAGACACTACACAGGGGCACAAGTCTGCCGAAGGTATTGTGAGCCTTCAAACCTAAGACGTGGAGAAAACGGAGAAAAGTCCTCTGCATGCCCAGCGTATGCGACTTCAAGGGTGATGCAACCATTTGGCCTGTAGTGCCCGGCACGCGTGATGGCAGCGAAGTATTCGCATCGATTCCCAAAAATGTCAAAGGAGATCGCCCCTTTTGTTTGACCTTCTCCTGGCCCACAGCAATTGCAGCCTGAAGGCTGTGAAGCGTATCCGACTGCGCAGTGGACGTCTTCTCGTAGTCAAGCACGTGACCTGATGCAATAACAAACGAATCCACAACAACAACAACAACAGCCCAATAAGTATCAAAACGCTCCCACATAATATTATCAACCCAATTTGCTGGCATGACAATCGCAACGTCACATGTCGCTGTCGTTCGCACCAAGCCCATAGTATGAACACAAACTCCATTTTGGAACTTCTTGTAATGCACAGACCGTGTCTCCGCCATAACGTCGACGTACATCATGCAATGTTTGTCTTGTTCGGGTTGCTGGCCGCTTTTGGGTGTTCCAGTTAATACATGCAAATTCCGATTGAATTCTTGGCATCGTGCTAGAATCGCCGCCTCCTGAAAACATACCCCCCAAGGAAGCAGAAGAAGGCATAGTGCGCGCACGGCCGAAAATAGGTGCTGTCATATGCTCACGCTCTCGATTATGTCTATGTTTCTTTTCAGGCGGCGGCCCTTCATGTTCTCCATCACGTAAGGCTTGCAATCGGCGTCCCATACTCTCCACTCTATCGACAAGATGGTCCAATCTATTGTGAAGGGGCTGCATGGCTTCTCGGAGTCGATTCCGCAGGAGTGCGACAAAAGGCTCATCCAAACCATGGAACTCACCCAATACAGAAGCCTCGAGATTGCTAAGTTGAGCTCTAATATCTGAAATGCCTGCCAACTCCGAAGAAACAGTATCCGTAAGGTTCGACAGCTCCATGACATCAGCCCCGGGCGCCGCGCCAGCGGCAGCCGGGCGCGCGCGCGCCCTAGCTATGCCACTTGCGCCCATTTACATATATGTGTATATACAATACATATGATAATATATATACACATATATGTGCGCAGCCCCCCCAGTCATTTTGCATCGGTCTTTGAGGTCTTCACTCGCGCTCTCACTGATCATCCGTCTTCTTGTCATCCGCGCCTGCTCATCCATCTTTCCTGTGTGTCCTTTCTCCGCTGTTCTCTCGTGGGGAAATCTACATGGAACCCGCTGGATCCGGGACTGGACACAGCTGGATCTAGGATCTGTTCAACTTCAATGCGATTCTAACCAAATCCCAATCGAAATCCTGATGTAATCACCTGGATTTGGGATCTGTCAAGTGGAATACTTTTTAGTTCGATGCCAATACTAATTCCACCTGGCCAGCTGGATGTGGTATCTGTTTCATCCCAATCACTTGCTATGCCACTGAGAATCGAATTGGAATCAGCTGGAACTCAGGCCTGCTCAATACGAATAAGATCATACACATATGCAAACGGCAATCCAAGTGGAATCAGCTGGACCTGGGACCCGCTGAGTTCCAATTCGGCTTTCATTACTAAATAAAATCAATTGAATATGATTGGAACCAGCTGGAACTAGTTGCGCTCAAATTAAATTACATTCTAAAAATGTACAAATATAAATCGGCTTTAAACCAGCTGGATCTGGGATTTGCTCCATTTCAATTTGATTCGATTCAGAATTCAATGGGAATCCAATTGGTGTCAGCTGTCTCGGGAATCTACTCCAATTCAAATTCGATTATAATTCGATTCCAATAGGAAACACCTCATAATCAGCTGGATCTGGGGTCTCCTCCATTCCATGTGCATTTGAAATAAGAATATACCTGGAATCAGCTGGACCTGGGATTATTTTCTTCTCAATTCGATTCGAATCCGATCACACTAGGAATCCAAGGCGGATCCGCTGGATATGGTATCTGCTTTATTCCAAGTATGATACAATCATATTCCAATGGGAATACAATGTGAATCAGCTGGATCTGTGATATGCACCATGTCAATGTAGTTTCTTAATATATTCTCATCGGAATCCAATCTGAACCAGCTGGACCTGGGCTCTGCTCAATTCTAATAAAATTCCGTTATGTCCTAAGAAGAAGCTTACTGAAGTCAGCTGCATATGGGATCCGCGCCGCCCCAAATAGATTCTAACTGCATCCCAAACGGAATCCGCCGACCCCTTGGGGTCACGGCATGTGAAATGCTTCCCCCTCCCCAAACCCCTCCCCCGGGGGCCCGGTCCAGACGGTTTGGAGGGGGGGGATGGGGGGCAAAGGTGCCGGCCGCACACTTGGAGCCTCATGAGGCCCCAACAAGAGCCAAAAAGGTCCAAAAGGATCATGGAACGGTCCAAGCTACGACGAGTCGACGAAGAATCGTTCCACAACGCCGAAGATCGCCTCCAGACGGCCCCATCAGTCCACAAGACTCTTGAAAACATACATCGAGGCGCCCCACGAAGGCCCTCCAGAAGCAAAAATCGTCCCATTCCCTGATGAAAACAAACATTTTCAGCAAATTCGCCTTTGGGGCTTCCACGCGGCCCACAACGGCCCAAGAAGCCTCCAAGATCGACCCTCCGCAGCCCAAGAAGCTCCCAAAAAGGCTCCACGACGGATTCCAGGCGACCCACGAAGGCTCCAGAAAACATAGCAACGACCCAGGAAGGCCGCAGGACGGTCCCAAGAGGGCTCCAAAACGGGTCAACAGGGTCCCCAAAGGCTGCCCAGACGGCCCACGCGGAGGACGATTCGGCCCAAACCGCCCAAGATTGCCTCCAGACGGCCCCATAGGCCCCCAAGACGTTTGAAAACGCGTCCACGAGGCGCCCCAAGAGGGCCTCCAGAAGCAAAAACCGTGCCATTCCCGACGGGAAACATGCATTTTCAGCACAGTCGCCTCTTGGACTTCCAAGCGGCCTACCACGGCCCAGTAAACCTCCAAGTTCGACCCCCGACACCCCAAGAGGCTCTCAAAAAGGCTCCACGACGGCTTCCGGGCGCACCACGAAGGCCGCAGGACGGTCCCAAGAGAGCCCGAAGACGGGCCAAGAGAGTTCTGAAAAGGCCTCCTGGTCGGCCCAAGTCGTTCAACAGTGCCCCGAGTCGTCCTACATTGCCTCCCGACAACCCCACGGGCCCCCAAGACGCCTCAAAACGCTACCCAGAGGCGGCCCAAGAAGCCTTCCAGAAGCAACAACCGTCCCTTCTCTCGATGGAAAGCACATACAGTATTTCCAGCACGTTCGCCTCTTGGCCTTTCACGCGGCCCCTGAGACCGCTTGCACGCCCCAACAAGCCACCAGGACGCGGCCCAACAGGCCCTCCACAAGCAAACATCGGCCCGTTCCCTGATAGAAACGTCCAAATTTAGCACGTTCGCTTCTTGGCCTTTCCCGAGGCCCACAGCAACCCAAGAAGCCCCCAAATCGATTCACGGAGACCCCATATGCCTCCAAGAGGGCTCCCTGGCGGCCCAGAAGGTCCCCGAGGGGGCCCCCGCAGCCACCGAGGAGGGCCCCAGGACGGCCCCACGAGAAGGCTCCGAGGGGAAACCCGACTGGAGGACTCGAACACGTCACCCGAAAACCCGGAGGAGCGCCACAAGGCCCCCAAGAGGCCCCATACGGGGCACCACGACGCCCCCGAGAAGCCCTGGGACCCGGAGGCGGCCCCTCGACGACGAAAACCACGAAAGACTGGACAAGACGAGGGCCCTGTGACAGAGCCTCCACGGGCCCTGAGCCCTGAAATATAAGCATAGCTCCTGCTCCTCCTCCTCCTCCTCCTCCTCCTCCTCCTCCTCCTCCTCCTCCTCCTCCTCCTCCTCCTCCTCGCAACCTTGAAGCTGCGGACACGTTTGCGTCCATGCCCTCGTCCTCCGCCTCCTGCTCCTCCCCTGAGCTCCAAACGTTACAACGTCGTTCGCACCACGCGGCTGCGCTTGGCCTCGGATCCCGAAGTCCGCCGACCCCCTGGGGCCACGGCATGTGAGGTGCCTCCCCCTCCCCAAAACGCCTCCCCTGGGAGCCCGGTCGGCCAGTTTGGAGGGGGGGGGGGTCAAAAGTGCGGGCCGCACACTTGGAACCCTAAGGGGCCCCAAAACGAGCCAAAAAGGTCCAAAAGGCTCCCGGAACGGTCCAGCAAAGCTACCTACGAGTCGACGAGAGGTCGTTCCACAACGCCGGGGATTGCCTCCAGACGGCCCCAGAAGCCCCCAAGACGCCCCGAGAAGCCACCAAGACGCCCTCCAGAAACAAAAATCGTCCCATTCCCTACGGACCAAACATAAATTTAAAACACACTCGCCTCTTGGCCTGTCTCGAGGTCCAGAACGGCCCAAGAAGCCTCCAAGAGCGACCCCAGATAACCCAAGAGGCCCCCAAAAAGGCTTCAAAACGGCCAGAAGGCCCCAGAAACAACCGCAACGGCCCAGGAGAGCCGAAGGACGGCCTCAAGAGGGCGCCAAAATAGGCGAAGAGGGTCCCCAAAGGCCCCCTGGACGGCCCACGAAGGCCACGAGTCGTCGAGAGATCGCTCCGAAATGCTCTAGATTACCTCCCGGCGGTCCTACAGGCCCCCAAGACAGCCCAAGAAACCGCCCAGAAAGGTCACGAGGGGCTTTCCACAAGCACAAAACGATGATTTTCTACGGACAACATAAATTTCCAGCACGTTC